TTGCTGCTGGCCTGCGGCTCCTTCGACGGCAGCGTGCGCGTCTACAGCACCCCCGCAGCAGCAGCAGCAGCAGCAGCAGCAGCAGCAGCAGCAGCAGCGGGGAAGGGGGCCCTGCTGCAGGAGCTGAGGGGCCCCTGCGAAGGAATTGCTGCTGTTGCTTTTCACCCCAAAGGCTACGCGCTGCTGGCAGCTTCTGAAGACAGAACAGCTTGGGTGTGGCTGCTGCCTCCTTCCTGGGGCACAGCAGCAGCAGCAGCAGCAGCAGCAGCAGCAGCAGCAGCAGCAGCGGGGGGGGGCACGCCGGCGGGGGTGAAGCCGGCAGTGACGCTGGCGGTGTTTGCTGCTCCTGCGCCTTTGACTTGCTGCTGCTTCAGCAGCAGCAGCAGCAACTGCATAGTGGCTGGGGTTTCGGGGACTGTCTCCGTTTTTGCTGCTAAGGACGGCGCTGCTGCTGCTGCTTTCCAGCACCCAGCAGCAGCAGCAGCAGCAGCAGCACAGGCGCCCGCCCCCCGCAGCAGCAGCAGCAGCAGCAGCATGGAGCTCGACGCGGGGCCTGCTGCAGCAAGCTGCTTAGCTGTAGATACACCCCACGGCTGCTGCTTTGTGGGGTTTGAAGATGGCCATCTTTTGGCTTTCCACGAGGAGACAGCAAAGTTGCTGCTGCTGCTGCAGGGCCACGCAGCAGCAGTGGAGGTCTTGCTGCCGGTGCCGCCTTCCCACGGCCTCGCTGCTGCTGCTGCTGCTGCTGCTGCGGGGCCCCACAGGGGGGCCCCCCGGGGGGCCCCCGGGGCCCCCGCGGGGCCCCAGGGGCCCCTGGGGGCCCTCTTCTTCTCCGCGGGTTTGGATGGAAAAGTTAAGCTCTGGAGTCTCAGCAAAAAGGCCCCGAGGCTGGTCATTGACTGTACGTACACCCCAGTGCCTGCAGCAGTTCCCTGCAGCAGCAGCAGCAGCAGCAGCAGCAGCAGCAGCAGCAGCAGCGGCGGCGGCGGGGAGGGGGGGGATACGGAGGGCGTTGTGCGGCTGCTGCTGCACCCGCAGCAGCAGCTGCTGCTCGTGGGCACTTCTTATGGGCTCATGAAGGCGTACGACTGCAGCAGCAGCAGCAGATTCAGCAGCAGCAGCAGCAGCAGCAGCAGCAGCGGCTGCCTGGACGTCTGGACTGCCCACCCAACGGCTGTCATGGACCTGCAGCAAATCTGCTGCGGCAGCAGCAGCAGCAGCAGCAGCAGCAGCAGCAGCAGCAGCAGCAGCAGGGACTGGATAGTGGCTTCGGGCGACTCCGACGGGGGGGTTTACATTTGGGCCATAGACCCTAAAGCTCTCCTCAGGGGGCCCCAGGGGCCCCTCCTAAACCCTCAGGGGCCCCCACTAAACCCTCAGGGGCCCCCACTAAACCCTCAGGGGCCCCCACTAAACCCTCAGGGGCCCCTTCTAAACCCTTAGGGGCCCCTTCTAAACCCTTGGGGGCCCCTGGGGGCCCCGAAGGGCCCCCGGGGCTGTCTAGCTAGCTAGCTAGCTGTCTAGCTAGCTAGCTGTCTAGCTAGCTAGCTGGCTGTCTAGCTAGCTAGCTAGCTGTCTAGCTAGCTAGCTGGCTGTCTAGCTAGCTAGCTAGCTGTCTAGCTAGCTAGCTAGCTGCCCAGCTAGCTAGTAGCTGCTGGGCTTGCTGGTGCAATTGAAACAATGATGAAGTGCGCGTGCAGAAGAAGTTCCATAGCTAGCTAGCGAGCCAGCTAGCTAGCCAGCGATTTAGCTAGCTAGGCAGCTACTTAGCTGTAGACATAGCCAGCTGGAAAGCCGGCTAGCTAGCCAGCTAGCTAGCCAGTTAGCTAGCTGGCTGATCAGCTAGCAAGCTGGCCAGCCAGCTAGCCAGCTTGCTAGCTGATCAGCCAGCAAGAGAGCCACTTCGGCAGCCTGGCAGCTAGCTAGCTAGCCAGCTAGCCAGCTAGCCAGCCAGCTAGCTAGCCGATCGGCCGGCAAGAGAGCCACATAGGCAACCTGGCGGCTAGCTGGCCAGCTAGCTACCTAGCTGGCTCGCTAGCTGGCTAGCTAGTTGGCTAGCTAGCTGGGTAGCTCGCTGGATAGCTAGCTGGATAGCTAGCTGGCTAGCTAGCTGGCTAACTCGCTGGCTGGCTAGCTAGCTGGCTAGCTGGCTAGCTGGCTTTTAGAGAGACAGGGAGCCTAGGGCTTCTGGGTCCAAGTCCGCGTGGCGAGACAAGAAGTCCTTCAAAACCGCCCTGCAGCAGCCGCAGCCCCAAACCCTAAACCCTAATTCCTTCGCCCCAAACCCTAAACCCTAAACCCTAGAACCTTCGACTCAAACCCTAAACCCTGAAGCCTTTGCCCCAAACCCTAAACCCTACACCCTAGAACCTCCGCCCCAAACCCTAAACCCTGAGACCTTAGCCCCAATCCAAAACCCTAAACCCTAAACCCTTGAGCCTTGATCCAAAACCCTAAAACCTAGAATGTTGGCCCAAAACCCTTCGCCGTAGAGCCGTGGCCCCAAACCCTAAACCCTAGAACCCTGGCCCCAAACCCTAAACCCTAGAACTGCAAGCAAAACGCGAATTGGGGTTTAGGGTTTAGTCTCACAAGTAATCCCCGCTGCTTAAAATGGCTGGGGGGCCCCCAGCAGCCATAGCATTGAACAGCAGCAACCTGAGCAGCAGCAGCAGCAGCAGCAGCAACAGCAGCAGCAGCAACAATGTTGGGAGCAAGGCAAAAAGCAGCAGCAGCACAAGCCGCTGCAGTGGCAGCAGCAGCAGCAGCGACTGCCCTTCGCTCGCTAGGCGTTGCAGCACAGCCTCAGGGGTGCTAGGGTTTAGGGTTTAGGGTTTAGGGTTTAGGGTTTAGAGCGCTACCCGCAAGGTGGAGAGAGACGAGGAGCTAGCGGCAGCAGCAGCCGCCAGGCCAGTTCAAATAAAGCAGCAAATTCTTCTGCTGCAGCAGCAGCAAACTGCTGTGCTGCAGCAGCATCCGCTGCATCCGCTGCTGCTGCTGCTGCTGCTGCTGCTGCTGCTGGCGTCCTGCAGCTAAATGCAGCAGCATCAAGAACTGCACACAAATCTGCTGCGCTGCCCTCAGCAGCAGCAAAAAACTGTTCGGCTTCTTCTGCTGTTTTTGCTGCTGCTGCGGCCGCCTCATTTGCTGCAGCTGCTTCGGCAGCAGCTAACGGTGCATCCATTGTTGCTGCTGCTGCTTCTGCTGCTGCTTCTGCTGCTGCTTCTGTAACTGTTGATCCAGTGTGGGCCTCCGGCTCAGTTTGTGCTGCTGCTGCTGCTGCTGCTGCTGCTGTGCCATCAGTACGCAGCAAGTCCTGCTGCAGCTGCAGCAGCAGCAGCCGAACGGTGTCGTTTTCCCGCAGCCCACTCTGCATGCAGCAGCAGCAGCAGCAGCAGCAGCAGAAACTGCAGCAAGAAGAGCGACAAAAGTGGCTGCCGAAGTGGAAGCCGCGGCACAAACAGCAGCAGCAACAGCAGCAGCAGCAGCAGCAGCAACAGCAGCAGCAAAAGACTGAGTAAGGAAAGTCACCTGCTTCAGCGCTGAGCAAAAAAATGCCACATCGCGAAGAGGCAGCAGCATTTTGCACCTGCTGCTGCTGCTGCTGCTGCTGTTGCTGCTGCCGCTGCTGCTGCTGCTGCTGCTGTGGCTCTGTAAAGCTGCTGCGCTCTTGAGGGCCGCAGCAATGCTGCTAAAGAAGCGACGGGCCAAAGACAGCGGCACTGCAGCAGCACAATGCAGCAGCAGCAGCAGCAGCAGCAGCCGATCTCAGATGGGGTCTCGCAGCATCACCGTAGCAGCAGCAGCAGCAGCAGCAGCAGCAGCATACTCTCATAATCCGCAGCAGCAAAAAGTCCTCCACTAATCCGCAAGAGCAGACGGGGGGCCAGCAAAGCGGGATGCGCCCAACTCTGCAGCAAACCACGCCAGACCCTAAACCCTAAACCCTAAACCCTAACCTCCAAGCCCTTAGGCTCAACTTTAAGAGCAGCAGCAGCAGCGGCAGTTGCCTCTATCCCAGCAGCAGCAGCAGCAGCAGCAGCAACAGTGTACCAGGAGGCTCGGGCTTGCATCCCGCAGCGTCTGCTGCACCAGCAGCTCCATTGCTGATGCTTGCTGCTGCTCTTGCTGCTGCTGCTGCTGCTGCTGCTGCTGCAGCAGCGGCTCTGCTGCAGCAGCCAAGTGCTTAGCTAGCTGCTGCTGCAATGCGAACCGCTGGTGCAGCAGCAGCACAAAAGATGGGAGCCACGGAGTCAGTGTGTGCGCGTCCAAAGCTAGCAACCTTCACACAAACCCTAAACCCTAAACCCTAAACCCTAAACCCTAAACCCTAAACCCTAAACCCTGATGAGTAAACCCTAAACCCTTGTTATCGGTGCTTAAGCTTAAATGCATGCCAAGAAAAGCCAGCGCCTACACAGCAGGCTTTAATATACAAGTCCCAGCGAATAGTAAACCCTAAACCCTAAACCCTAAACCCTAAACCCTAAACCCTCACCGCTGGGCTACCGCATTGATTGTCTCGTGGCCAAATGACCCGCGGAGGGCTCGTCTGTTTGCTGCTGCTGCAGCAATAGCTGCAAGCGAAGGAGCAGAGGCCACGGGAGCAGCCTGCAGAAACACCCGCAAGCCCTAAACCCTAAACCCTAAACCCTAAACCCTAAACCCTAAACCCTATATCCAAGTCCACAGCGAGGCTCCAACAAGCACACTTCTGGGTATAGAAGCGCGCTTAGCGCAGCAGCAGAGTCAGCAACGCCTGCTGCTACTGCTGCTGCTTGTGCTGCTGCTGCTGCTGCTGCTGCTGCTGCTGCAGTACCTGGTGCAGGTGCACGGCGAGAGCAGCAGCAAACTTGCGGCCTTGGAAGAAAACCCCCGAGGGTTTAGGCAGATAGCGAATCCGAGTGACACGCCGCTGGGAGGATTCCCAGGCTTCCATGCTGCGCATTACAAACCCTAAACCCTAAACCCTAAACCCTAAACCCTAGCTGGCGCTCAGTATGGCGCGGCGCAGCAGCGCATCCAACCCTGTCTGCTGGTCTCCAGAACCCCGAAAGAAGATGAGGGTTTGTTCCTGACTTTCTGGCAAATTAGCTCCAGGGTTTAGGGTTTAGGGTTTAGGGTTTAGGGTTTACTCGACGGGGTCCATTGACTGCCAAGTGCGAGGCGGCGGCGGCGGTGGTTTAGGGGGCAGCAGTCCAGCGTCCTGCCCCATGTGGAGCTCCTCCTTCAAACAAGAAAAAATTAGGGTTTAGGGTTTAGGGTTTAGGGTTTAGGGTTTGGGGTTTAGGTGGCTGGGCATCGGACAAAACCCTGAGGCGCGTTACGTGCGCGAGACCAGCCTGCTCCCTTCCAGGTCTTTCTGTTCTCTGGGGTTTTGGTTTAGGGTTTAGGGTTTAGGGTTTAGGGTTTAGGGTTTACTGCGGTCATGATGGCTGCTTTCGCAGAGAGCGGCGTCGCCTCAACTAAAGACAGAAAACCCTCGCCTGCAGTCTTCCACAGGTAGAGGCACTGCAGCAGCAGCAGCAGCAGCAGATGCAGCAGCAGCAGCAGATGCAGCAGCAGCAGCAGATGCAGCAGCAGCAGCAGATGCAGCAGCACAAATGTGCATAACAGCGAGAAGATGTCCTGCAGCTGAGAAGTCTTGAGCCGAAACCCTAGACGCAGCTCGAGCCGCTTAGGGTTTAGGGTTTGGCGGTTAGAATTGAGGGTTTAGGGTTTAGGGTTTGGGGCTTAGAACTGAGGGTTTAGGGTTTAGGGTTTGTTGTAAAGAAAAGTCTCAACTATGGCCTTCTGGCCTTTCTTGAGTCAGCCCCGAGGGCATGCCTTATAATTCAGGGTTCAGCAATTAGGGTTTAGGGTTTAGGGTTTAGGGTTTAGGGTTTTACTGGGTGTTTTCGTGGTCTGCTGCGCGCATCAACAGCAAGAGCTGCAGCCTCCAGTCTCTCCCGCACCTGCAGCAGCAGCACCCGCAGCGGGCTGCTGCTGCTGCTGCTGCTGCTGCTGCTGCTGCTGCTGCTGCTGCTGCTGCTGCTGCTGCTGCAGCTGCTGCTGCTGCTGCTGCTGCTGCTGCTGTTGAGCGCCTTGATAGAGTCCATGGCCATCCAAATGAGGAAGGCCTCCTGTGCGCAACAAGTCACCCAAACCCTAAACCCTAAACCTAAACCCTAAACCCTAAACCCTAAACCCTAAACCCTAAACCCTAAACCCCACAAGCCAAACCCTAACCCTAAGCCTAAACCCTGAATTTACACCCGCTCAAGCACTGAAGTGTGTAGGCAAGCCCAACTAAACAAGAACTGATATGAAATGTAGGGTTTAGGGTTTAGGGTTTAGGGTTTAGGGTTTAGCCTCAAGTCTTTGCTTACCTCTTCATCGATCGCCAGACGGTTCAGCTGCTCTACGCAGCGCAGCCAGTCAGTCCACTGTAGCAGCAGCTGCTGCTGCAGCTGCTGCTGCAGCTGCTGCTGCTGCTGCTGCTGCTGCTGTTGCTGCTGCTGCTGCTGCTGCTGCAACAAAGGCAGCAATGACTTCCGCAGAGTCTCTATCTTTGCTGTTAGGCTCAGCAGCAGCGCCACGACCTCGCGGGTCTGCAGCAGCGGCAGCTGCAGCAGCAACTCTTGCTGCTGCTGCTCCTGCTGCAGCTGCTGCAGCAGCTGCAGCAACTCAAGCCTTCTATTTAGAGTGTGTGCTGCTGCAGAGTCGCTGTTGGAGGCCTCGGCTTGCCACTGCTGCAGCAGCTCCTGCTGCTGCTGCTGCAGCTGCTGCAGCAGCAGCAGCAGCGACACAGGCGGAAAGTCCCGAACATATTTAATTTTCGAAAAGAGGTGCGCGGGCAAATCAGGAGCATCTTCAGCAGCAGCAGCAGCAGCAGCAGCAGCAGCTGCTGCTGCTGCAGCAGATGATATTCCCTCTGCCGAATCTGCAGCAGCAGCTGCTGAAGCCGACTCTGAGCTGAACTTCCTGGTGATTGCCGCTGCTGCTGCTGCTGCTGCTGGTGTTGCTGCTGCTGCTGCTGCTGTTGCTGACGGATTAATCAGCAGTGAGGGGAAGCAGCAAACTGGGCTTCGTGTGGGACTTTTAGCCGCTGCTGCTGCTGCTGTTGCTGTTGCTGCTGCTGCTGCTGTTGCTGCTGCTGCTGCTGCTGCCGGTGCTGCTGGCTGCCTTGCTGCTGCTGCTGTTACGAATGTGATGCCTTGTCTGTAAACGGAAGCAGCAGCAGCAGCAGCAGCAGCAGCAGAAGCTGCTGCTCGTGTCACCTGCCGCATGCTTGCGGCGAGAGGCAGTGTGGCGCTTCCAGCCTTAACTTGCAGTAAACCCTAAACCCTAAACCCTAGATGGAGGTCCCTAAACCCTAAACCCTCGAAAGAGGAGACTTGAGTTTCTCCATTCCCGCGAGCGTTTTACAACGAACTGTGTACCAAACCCTAAACCCTAAACCCCAAACCCTAAGCCCTCAGCCTTAAACCTTTAACCCTAAACCCTAAACCCTAAACCCTAGACGCTAATGCGTAAACCCTTATTGTGTGCATGCGCTGCTAGCACTGCCGTCGGCTGCAGCCCCTAGTCGAAGTCTAAACCCTAAACCCTATATTCTAAACCCTAAACCCTAATTCCTAAACCCTACTTTTGTGTTTTTGCAGATATTATTTCAGCGGAAATGCTGCAACGCGCTCCGTGTGGCTAGCCCAAACCCTAAACCCTAAACCCTAAACCCTAAACCCTCGAATCGATAGAGGCTGCTAGTCCTTCGAGGCAATGAATGGGCTGCAGAGAGTTGCTGCTGCAACTCTGCTTGCAGGTCACTCAAAACCCTAACCCTAAGCCGCAAACCCTAGGCCTTAAACCCTAAACTCTAAACCCTAAACCCTAGACCTTCGACTCAACAGCCATGAAGAGCCAAGACCACCAGTTGCAGCAGCAGCAGCAGCAGCAGTAGCAGCAGCAGCAGCAAACTGAAGCAGGCGTGGCCTGTGTGTGCTGCAGCTCCGACAGCCTATTGCTACTCCACCAAACAGCAGCAGCAGCAGCAGCAGCAGCAGCAGCAGCAGCAGCGGCTCAGCAGCTGGAGGACCCGAGGAGTCTCTCACGTCGCCTTTTGCGCAGCGCAGCAGCAGCAGCAGCAGCACAAACAGCAGCAGCAGCAGCAGCAGCAGCAGCAGCACAAACAGCAGCAGAAGGTCTTCATATGGGGCAGCCGCCTGAGCTTCCCTGGTGGAGCCCCTTCGGACATCCAAGTGCCCACGGAGGCTGACTCACTCTCGGGTTAGGGTTTAGGGTTTAGGGTTTAGGGTTTGGGGTTTAGGGTTTAGGGTTTAGGGTTTAGGGTTTAGGGTTTAGGGTTTGGGTATGGGGCTCAGGTTCCCAATACATTGCCACCGGATAATTTGACTCGAAAAGGACCGCGCCTCGGGGTCGGGGCTCGTGGCCCAGGGTTTAGGGTTTAGGGTTTAGGGTTTAGGGTTTAGGGTTTAGGGTTTTGCTGCGCAGGCTTCGCCTCCAGCTGGCTGGCCATTTCCTTTGGGCCAAACTTTGGCGCTGCGCTGGCGGGCGATGGCCGCAGCTGCGTCGTCTGGGGCTCGCTGCAGCAGCAAGACAGCGAGCCGGGTTTGCTGCTGCTGCTGCTGCTGCTGCTGCTGCTGCTGCTGCTGTTGCTGCTGCTGCTCCAGTCGCTGCTGCTGCCGCTGCTCTAGTTCCACTTTGCTGCAGCGCATCTGGGTCCCCTTATCAGTGTCTCGGTTTGCTGTTTCTCCGCCTGCGGTGTCTGTCACCGTGCTGCTGCTGCTGCTGCTGCTGCTGCTGTCGCTGCTGCTGCTGCTGCAGTGTTTGTCCCTCCGTTTTTGCTGCCGCTGCCAGCAGCAGCAGCAGCAGCAGCAGACGTGCAGTGTTCCTCAACGGAATTATTTTTGCTGGACAAGGACGGCCGCGTGTTCGTAATTGACGACTTTCTGCTGCTGCTGCAGCAGCAACAGCAACAGCAGCAACAGCAGCAGCAGCAACAGCAGCAGCAGCCGCAGCAGCAGCAGCAGCAGCAGCAGTTTAGGCAGCTAAAGGGACTCCCAGTCAGGGGCTTCTTCTCTGGGGACTTTATTGCGCAAATGGCCATTGGGGCAAACCACGCAGCTTTTGTCTCCCGGGATGGCCGCCTCTGTAAAGTTTGCTGCTGCTGCTGCTGCTGCTGCTGCTGCTGCTGCTGCTGCTGCTGCTGCTGCTAGTGCTGCTGCTGTTGGTGCTGCTGCTGGTGCTGCTGCTGACACGCTAGGTGCAGCTCAAACGCTGGGGTTTCCTGTTGTGGGACTCGTGCTGCAGCTTCTCAAGATTGCTGCTGCTGCATGCTGCTGCTGTTGCTGCCGGTTTTGCTGCTGCTGCTGCTGACTCTGCTGCTGCTGCTGCTGCTGTTCATCTTGCTGCTGCTGCTGCGGCTGCTGCTGCAGTTTGCTGCGGGGACAACCTTTACGGGCAGTGCGGAGTTAAGCCGTCCGGGCCGAAGACATATCATGTGGCGATGAACGAGGCAAGCCTCAAGCCCCAAACCCTAAACCCTAAACCCTAAACCCTAAACCCTACTTTAATACCCGCAACCCACATAGCAGTCTGTAACATTAAACACCTTAGTTTTGAAGCTGCGGCAATGGCGCAGTAAAAACGCTCAAAGGTTTAGGGTTTAGGGTTTGGGTTTAGGGTTTAGGTTTTGGGGTTTAGGGTTTAGGGTTTAGGGTTTAGGGTTTTTGCAGGTGGTACTGCCTGAGAACGCCAAGGCTGCTGCTGCTGCCTGCGGCGATCGGCACACTCTTGTGCTGACTGCAGACGGCAATACATTTGCGTCCGACTCCAAACCCTAAACCCTAGCTCTCAAACCCTAAACCCTAAACCCTAAACCCTCGCCGCCGAAGCTTCACCCGTAGCTGCTAAACCCTAAACCCTAGCTGTCTGTGGCGCAGCAAATGCAGCGTGGCTGTGAATGCCATGCCCGGAGGGTGCAGCGCACTAAAAAAGTTAGTGTTTAGGGTTTAGGGTTTAGGGTTTAGGGTTTAGGGTTTAGGGTTTAGGGTTTTTGCTGTAGGTTTGGAGACGACTCGAAGATCCAGCTGGCAATTGGAGACACTCGAGGCCAAGGAGGTGCAGATATGGGGACGACATACAAAGAGAGGATTGACATGGGTGAGGGTTTAGAATTCAGGGTTTAGGGTTTAGGGTTTAGGGTTTAGGGTTTAGGGTTTTGCGTGTGGGGTTTACTGATTATATTTAGGCTCCCGCAGAACCGCGTACAGCAAACCCTAAATCAGCGACAACACCTCAGCTCTTCTAGCGCAGAGCGAAGACATCTTTTTTTGACCTTTCTGCGGCCGCGAAACCTAGGGTTTAGGGTTTAGGGTTTAGGGTTTAGGGTTTAGGGTTTGTGCTGCAGCGGGGGTCAAAGCGCCCATGCGCCGAGGGGCTTCTTACGGGCTTCTAGAAAGGCATCTGCAGCACAGCCCTGTGCCTTCTCTCAAACCACCGGCTGCTGTTTCCCCAGAAGGTAAACCCTAAACCCTAAACCCTAAACCCTAAACCCTGAACCCTAAGTTCTAGCTGGTGGCTCTAAACCCTTGTCTCCCCCTTGCCTGGGTCCAGGTCATCTGCCGGCGCCAAGATAAGCTTGCTACTACACATATGGAGTCTAGGGTTTAGGGTTTAGGGTTTAGGGTTTAGGGTTTAGGGTTTGTGTGCAGCTGCACGAGGGTTTGCCACAGCGGTGGCTGCGAGCGACTTCTCATCAATCATCTTGTACAAGGAAGGGTGGGCCTTCTAAACCCTAAACCCTAAACCCTAAACCCTAATCTCTAAACGCTAAAATGTAGGCTGTGACTTCAAGAGGCTGGCTTTTGCTGCTTTTGCTGCTGGCATGGCGTGCTGCACCTGCCCATGAAGCTTTGTTGCTGCTGCTGCTGCTGCTGCTGCTGCTGCTGCTGCTGCAGTGCTGCAGCAGCAGAGAGTGGTAGAAACGCCCTCTTGTGTTGCGGCGAAGCAGCTCGGGGACAGTGTGGTAGGACGCTGCAGCAGCAGCAGCAAACTTTGCTTCCTGTGCAGGTAAGCAGCAGCAGCAGCAGCAGCAGCAGCAGCAGCAGCAGCAGCAGCAAACCGCCACCTCTGTAGCTGCCAAACCCTAAACCCTCGAGTGTGCTTGGCTGACTGAGCTCGCGGCCGTAGGCGCAGCGGCTGCGAGGCCGCGCAAACCCCAAACCCTAAACCCTAAACCCTAAACCCTAGTAGGGTTTGTGCTGCTGCTGCTCTCAGCTGCCGCGGTCTTTGTCGCCCCCTTTTGCTGCTCCTTTTGTCTCTTCTGTCTCCTGCGGCTCTTCACATTGTGTTGCTGCTCTAAACCACCAAACCCTAATTGGTTGGGGTTTCAACAGCCAGGGCCAAGTTGGCGCGGGCCCCAGAGGCGCGCAAACCCTAAACCCTAAACCCTAAACCCTAAACCCTCGAGAGCCCAAACCCTAGGCGTCCCGAACGCCGCGCCTGCGGCGGCCTCCTGCGTAGCCCTAAACCCTAAACCCTCGCGGCTGCCACTTGCCAGCTGAGCAGCTTCACCTCCAAGCACGGGGTTTAGGGTTTAGGGTTTAGGGTTTAGGGTTTAGGGTTTAGGGTTTGCGCTGCAGGCATTGTCTCGCCCGCGCGCTGCGTGCGCCTGCCCGAGGGCCTTTTTGAGGGTTTAGAGCAGCAGCAAAAGGGGGAATTGGAGCAGCAGCAAAAAGGGGACTTTGAAATAAATAAAAAAACAAAAAAGGAGACAAAAGAAGAGACAAAAAAGGAGACAAAAGAAACAAAAAGAGGAAACCCCAAATTAGGGTTTATTGCGGCGCTGAGGTGCTCCTTCGCAAACTCAGCCGTCATCGTAAACCCTAAACCCTAAACCCCCAAACTTTTTCGTTCTCTGAGCTTCGTGTGGGGAGCCGATAGACAGCCGTGTGCTCTAGGGTTTAGGGTTTAGGGTTTAGAGCTCTACGATCGAGGAGGAAGTGTTTCCTCCATGAGATCTGCTTGCTGCTGCTGCAGCTGCTGTTGCTGCTGCTGCTGTTGCTGCTGCTGCAGCTGCTGCTGCAGCTTCAGCTGTTTTGGCCGTTGAGTCTGGTGCTGCTGCTGCTGCTCCAGCTGTTGCTGCCCCAGCTGATGTTGTTGCTGCAGCCGGTTTTGCTGCTTCTGCGGCTGCTGCAGCTCTTGCTGCTGCTGCTGTTGCTGCTGCTGTTGCTGCTGCTGTTGCTGCTGCTGCTCCGTCTGTGGGTGCTGCTGTGGGCAGCGACGACTGCATCACCAACTATGTCGAATAAGGCTAGGGTTTAGGGATTAGGGTTTAGGGTTTAGGGTTTAGGGTTTGAGGTTTATCGCCGCCGCTACATCCTGCCAGCGTAGCTCACAACAGTGAAGCGGCAGCAGAGCCTGCTGCTGCACCTGGTCGCTCTAGCAGCAGCAGCTGCTGCTGCTGCTGCTGCTGCACCTGCCTGCTGCTGCACCTGCTACTGCTGCTGCACCTGCTCTAGCAGCAGAAGCAGTCGCAGCAGCAGCAGTTGTAGCAGCAGTAGTAACAGCAGCAGCAGCAACAGCAGCAGCAGCAACAGCAGCAGCAAAAGCAGCAGCAGCAGCAGAAGCAAGAATAAGAATGGCGTTTAGCGTTTCTGCTGTCGCTCCCCTAGGCCTTTCAGCCGTGCACGGAGGCCCCACAGCATCTGCTGCGGGGAATAAGGGTTTAGGGTTTAGGGTTTAGGGTTTAGGGTTTAGGGTTTAGGGTTTAGGGTTTAGGGTTTAGGGTCAGAAAGTAGAGTCAAGAAAGAGAAGCCCCTAAACCCTAGAGTCTTTGAGGCGCCCCAAACCCTCTCCGTCGCAAGTGAGTCGCAGCTGCACTGCTGCAGCTTGCGGGAGGGTTTAGGGTTTAGGGTTTAGGGTTTAGGGTTTAGAATTTAGGATTTCTCTAATTTGGATGTGCTGCTGTAAAATTTAACTCGAGTAAAGAAGCACCAGCAGCAGCAGGCGCCTGTCGCAGCAGCAGCAGCAGCAGCAGCAGCAGAGCAGCAGCAGCATTGCTTCTGTACAGCAGCAGCAGAAGCCGGAGGCAAGTTGCTGCTGCAGCAGCAGAAGTTGTTTACGAGGGTTTGAAGTTTAAAAGCCCTCTTTTGTTGTTTAATTAAACCCTTGAGGGTTTAGGACACGCACTTTTGTAGCTTCCTGCGGACGTGCTTCTCGCTGGCTCACTAGGGTTTAGGGTTTAGGGTTTAGGGTTTCTGTGCTTTTTTCCTCGATCCCGGCTCGCAGTCCGAAGTGTTGGCGCTGAGTTCGCACCTTTTCTTTCTTCCTAACATTGAACCCTGCCCCTTGAAACCCCAAACCCTAAACCCTAAACCCTAAACCCTAGACCATCGCTCTGGGGCCCGGTGGCTCGCGGCGGCCGCGCGCCTGCGGTTTGTCTTCTTCCCCCTCTCTCTTCATTTTGTATTTCTTTGAGTGAAGCAGCAGTCCTAGCAGCAGCATTTGAGCAGAAGCAGCAGCAGCAGCTGCTACTTGGGCCTCAGCAGCAGCAGCAGCAGCAGCAGCAGCGGCGGCGCAGCAGCAGCAGCGGCGGCGCAGCAGCAGCACCAGCAGCAGCAGCAGCAGAACAGCAGCAGCACCGCTCAACCGCCCACGCAGAACTATGCAGCCAAGCAAGGGGCCCCCGGGGGGCCCCCAAAGTCCCCAAGAGGGTTTAGAAGGTCCTGGGGGCCCCCCGGGTTTTGCAGAAGTGTCTGGGGGCCCCTCTGAGGTGTACATACACCCCACCAGGTCTACGAGCTCTATGGGGGGAGCTGTTGTAGCAGTGGCTGAGGAGACGCAAAGACCTGCTGCTGCTGCTGCTGCTGCTGCTGCTGCTGCTGCTGCTGCTTCGGACAGCTTCTATTCCCTTCCAAACCGCGACCCTAGGGGCCAGGACTTTCCGGGGTCCCCGGGGCCCCCCCGGGGGCCCCCCGGGGGGCGCCCCCTGGGGGGCCCCCCCAGGGGCCCCCCCCTGCGGGGCGCGCCCGGGGCCTACGGGGCCCTGGGGAACCAAAGGGCTCTGGGGGCCCCCTGGGCCCCAGGGGGGCCCCCCGCCGTGGGGGCCCCCTGGGTCTACGTGGGGCCCTCAGAAGGGCCCCTGGGGGGGGCCCCCACGAGGGGGCAGCAGGTGCAGCCAGTGCTGCTGCCAGCCGAGGGTTTGAGAGGGTACTGCTACGGGAGGGGGCCCCCCGTGGGGAGTGCCAGCCGGCTGAACAGCAGCAACAGCAGCAGCAGCAGCAGCAGCAGCAGCAGCAACGCAGCGTCGCTCTTTCGATCGCTCTCTGCTGCTACTCGCAAACGCATTTGGGCCCATTTGGGAAATGGGAGAAGTTCTTTTGTGCTGCTCTACAGCACTTCCGCCATCCTCTTCTTTCTTTTCCTGCAAGAGTGAGCCGCTAGGGTTTAGGGTTTAGGGTTTAGGGTTTAGGGTTTAGGGTTTAGGGTTTGGGGGCGGCAGCGCGGAGAAGGGGATGCGCAAGACGGGGAGTTGCGGCCAGCGGAAATGGCAGGGAGCCTGCCAGTCCTGTGCATGGGTGTATTAGGGTTTAGGGTTTAGGGTTTAGGGTTTAGGGTTTAGGGTTTAGGGTTTAGGGTTTAGGGTTTAGGGTTTAGGGTTTGTGAGGGCGTGTACGCAGGTTGGTGTTTAACTTCACGTCTTTTAACGGACGCTGCATCGGGCCTGTCTTGTATCCGCCGTGGACGCATCCTTCACAGGTGGCGCTCAAACCCTAAACCCTAAACCCTAAACCCTAAACCCTAAACCCTAGCCGCTAGACGGCAGCGGCTGCGAGCGTCCGGAAGCCGTGCAGCGTGTAAACCATTCACTGGGGTTTGTGCCGGGGAGCAGAGGGTTTAGGGTTTAGGGTTTAGGGTTAATGGTCTACGTGAGTGTCGGGTTTAGGGTTTAGGGTTTAGGGTTTAGGGTTTAGGGTTTAGGGTTTGGGGTGGTTTGCAGCCGTCGTTGGTGCCGTTTGGGTACGGCGCCTGCGAGTCGAACCTGGGCCTGCAGGGCCCGGGAACTGCAGCAGCAGCAGCAGCAGCAGCAGCAGCAGCAGGAGCCCCAAACCCTGCGTGGCTGCTGCAGCAGCTTTTTCCCCACAAGAGATGTGCCTGGGGTGCATGCGCTGGCGACCGGGGCTGGCCGCCGCAGCTGGTCAAAGCCGGCAAAACTGCTGCCAGTCCTGCTGCAGCAGACTCCCCCAACCGTAAACCCTAAACCCTAAACCCTAAACCCTAGGCCCTAAACCCTAGACGCTGAAGGTGCACTGCGAGCGCCTGCGGCGCCGCCTGCGCGCCGCGCCCTCCCCGCCAGTTCAGCGCCTGCGCCTCCACAAGCGAATTAGGGTTTAGGGTTTAGGGTTTAGGGTTTAGGGTTTAGGGTTTAGGGTTTGCGTGCAGCGCGGATTTTGCTGCCGCTGGGCGCTTTGGACACGAACTTGATTCGAAACTACGGAGAAGTTTACAGAGTCTTTTGGGCCTCTTGGTTGCATGCGGGTTGGATGCATTTGTTGATAAACCTTCTTTGTCAGGCGGCAGTTCTTTTCATTCTGGAGCCGGTCCCGCAAACCCTAAACCCTAAACCCTAAACCCTAAACCCTAAGCCCTAGTTGCAGCGTGCCTCTCCCTCGCCTCCCCAGCGCCTTATCGCTTGTGTCTCTCCTTAGCGTGAGCTGTTGCCAGTGGGCTGGGCGTCGGGGCCCAGGGCGTAGGGTTTAGGGTTTAGGGTTTAGGGTTTAGGGTTTAGGGTTTAGGGTTTGCGCAGATGTGGGGGTTTTGGCGCTGCCTCCTCACCTGGGTTATCAGCGCCATGGGGGGAAATACCCTCAGCGCAGTTCTAGACCCTTGCACCAGCACTGTGGGGTCTTCGGGGGCCCTTTACGGGCTTTTGGGGGCCCTCGTGCCCTTCGCAATCGGTGAGGGTTTAGGGTTTAGGGTTTAGGGTTTAGGGTTTGGGGGGTGGGGCTTGGGGTTGGTGGCTCCGAGACTGCTGCGCCCGCTCGCGATAGAGCCGCCACCTAAGGCTTAACTGAAAGGATTATTTGGCTTTGGGGTTTAGGGTTTAAGGTTTAGGGCTTCGGGCGTAGGGTTTAGGGTTTAGGGTTTACGTTTTAGGGTTTAGGGTTTAGGGTTTACGTTTTAGGGTTTAGGGTTTAGGGTTTAGGGCGTGTGTGTTGACTTCAGAAAATTGGGATTACCTCCACTTCCCCTGGTGTGTCCTGGCGATTGTTGTCGTCGTTATTGTGAGCAGCAAGCCCTAAACCCTAAACCCTAAACCCTAAACCCTAGACTCTAGGACCTTAGCCCTCCATTCTAGGGTCGAGGTTTACTCCTTGCGCTGCATCCGTTGGTGGCGCTATAGGGTGTAGGGATTAGGGTTTAGAGCCTAGGGTTTAGAGCCTAGGGTTTAGGGTTTAGGGTTTAGGGTTTAGGGTTTGTGCGCAGGCCACGGCCCAGCTGACCAATATGGGCGGTTTCTCCGCTGTAGACAACTTCGCTCATTTGGGCGGCTGCCTGGGGGGTTTGCTTGTAGGGTTTGCGACAATATATTCCCTTCGGGCCCTCAGGTGAGGGTTTAGGGTTTAGGGTTTAGGGTTTAGGGTTTAGGGTTTAGGATCTAGGGTTTGGCCGCCAGGGGGCAGGGCTTGTAGAAGCTGGCTTTCTGATTTAAGCGGGATATTAGGCCCTGCACTTCCTTGTCAGTGGGAGACTTGATGCGGGCTCACAGGTGTTAGGGTTTAGGGTTTAGGGTTTAGGGTTTAGGGTTTAGGGTTTAGAGTTTCTTTCAGGAGGTTTTCGCTCTCCGTCTGGTGGGCGCGGGTGCAGCTGCGCTGCTGCCACCGCTGCATTTCAGCAACGAAGCGCAACATGTTGGCTAGCCGTATCAGGAGACACGGTAAACCCTAAACCCTAAACCCTAAACCCTAAACCCTAAACCCTAAACCCTAGAAGCGGATTCGACCACTGCATCGCCAGCTGGACTTGCAGTTCTGCCGTTTCTGTGTTGCGTGGTGGTGGGGTTGCTTGCCTTGATGTTCTCCTTAGGTGTAGGGTTTGGGGTTTTAGGGTTTAGGGTTTAGGGTTTAGGGTTTAGGGTTTAGGGTTTGTGCTGCAGAAGCCAGGACACGCGCGGAGCTGAAAGAACTGCCCGCAGATGGCCCCCCGTTTGTGTGGAAGTGTTATGAGGGTTTTCTAGAGTGGACTGTTCGCTTGCTCGCTCTTGGGTTCTTGGTGCGTAAACCCTAAACCCTAAACCCTAAAACCCTAAAGCCTAAACCCTAAGCCCGAGACCCGTGGCACTAACTTTCTAGTTGAAGCTGTAGCTGTCTGCCCGTCGCAGTGTGTGCTGGTCTCATTTTGTCGTGCCCGTGGAGTTTGCTAGGGTTTAGGGTTTAGGGTTTAGGGTTTAGGGTTTAGGGTTTGAGCGCCTGCCCTCCCGTGAGAACACGAGGGTTTCACATGCATCCGTAATTTAGGGTTTAGAGGAGCCGCGAAGCGGCCAGCCGCGCACGCAGGCCCCAGCTTCGGGGTTTGGGGTTTAGGGTTTGGGGTTTAGGGTTTAGGGTTTAGGGTTTAGGGTTTGCTGCAGGTGGCGTCGCTGACCGTGCTGTGGCTGTTTCTCCTAAACCCTAGCTACTACGAAACCCTCACGGCCCCCGGGCGAATCTCCTTTTTAGGGTCTGCGGGATGTCACTGCTGCCGCTTGCCGACAGCAGCAACTCTGGCCAAAAGGGGGGTAGGGTTTAGCGAGGGTTTAGGGTTTAGTCCCGTCAGCAAACCCTTGCCAGCATTTGTGAGGTTTAATGGCGGCCACTTTTGGTGTTTTGAGAACCAAGCCAGTGCGGATTACTTCTGCGCCAACGCCAGAACCCCGCAAACCCTAAACCCTAAACCCTAAACTCCAAACCCTAAACCCCAGCAACGCGCGCTGCCCCCCCCTCAGGCCTATATGTCTAGGGGCCCCCTTACAAAGTAGAGGGGGCCCCAGGGGGCCTCAGGGGCCCCAGGGGCCCCCAGGGGCCCCGGGGCCCCCTCAGAAGGTTTGTGGGTTCTCCGGGGGCCTTTTGGAGGCAACAGAGAGCCAGTGCATGCAGTCGGGGGCCCCCCAAGGGTCCACACAGGGGCCCCCTTGGGGGCCCCTTTGTGGGACCAGTGGGGGCCCCTGTGGGGGGCCCTTGGGGGCCCCCCACAGGGGCCCTTTGGGGCCCTTGTAGGGCCCCTGGAGGTGCCCGTTAAGGCGAAACCCCCCAAAGGGGGGCCCCCAAGGGGCCCCCTTAAGGGGTTTAGTAATTTGTAGCCCCGGCATGTGGCCTTGGGGCTTTGTGGGGCCCCTTGAAAGGGCCCCTTCTGTTGTTTAGGCACAACGGATGCAGCAGCAGGTATTCTGGCTATTTAGGGGCCCCCTCCAGGTCACTTTTGGGGGCCCCCCCGAGTGGGGGCCCCCCAGGGGGCCCCCGTGGGGGCCCCCCTGGGGGCCCCCGTGGGGGCCCCCCTAGGGGCCCCCGTGGGGGCCCCCCTGGGGGCCCCGGCTGCGGGGCCCGTAGCCACTCCGCCCCAAGAGGGGCCCCCCGAGACGGGGCCCCAAAGGGGGCCCCTTAACGTGTGGCCGCCGCAGCACAAAGGGGCCCCCAGACCCAGTGGGGGCCCCTAGGCCCTGGGGGGCCCCCGTACCCGACTTTGTGAAAGTGGGTACCCGGGGGGCCCCCCTTGCCTTGAACTTAATGCAGCTAGATAGGGGGCCCCAGGGGGCCCCCACTAGACCCTGTGTTGTCTTACCTAGACTTTGGGGGCCCCCTTGACTAGGATTTGTGGTGGCCTACGGTGGGCGAAATGTCCCAGCTCGATTTAACGCAAACCCTAATTTAGGGTTTGGGGAGCCAGGAAGACGGCGGCCAAAACCCTAAACCCTAAACTGGAAGAGCATGAAGTGTTGAAGCCACAGAGGGAAGAGGGACCTCCGGATGTGGAAGCAAACCCTAAATCCTAGCCCAGTCCAAACCCTAAACCCTAAACCCTAGTTCAGCGTGTGCCCGCAGCTTCACACCCAAAAGCAAAACGCCTTAAACACCAATTTGTAAACTCAACCCTAGTTCCGCAGGGGTTCACTAAAACGCGTCTACTGTAAACCCTAAACCCTAATAGGAAAACCGCAAGACTAAACTCTAAACCCTAAACCCTAAACCCTCAAAAGGAGTTCCGTCGCCGGGACTTGAACCCGGGTCGCGCGGGTGAGAGCCGCGTATCCTAACCACCTAGACTACGACGGATGGTTGTCGGTGCAAACCCTAAACCCTAAACCCTAAATTAGGGTTTGGCCGACGCGAGTTCCTTACACTCGCAGCTGCCGCTTCACACCATCTTTCCATCCGGGCTTGCAGCGTAATGTGCACGCTCGAGGGTTTAGGGTTTAGGGTTTTGGTTTTAGGGTTTAGGGTTTAGGGTTTACGTACAAGCTTGTTGCAGATAGTAACAAACCTTGGTAATTAGGTTTTTTGATTTACCGTCGAGGGTTTAGGCTAATTGGAAAGGATCCGGGATGCAGCCGAACAGGGCGTGTGCACCCAAACCCTAAACCCTAAACCCTAAACCCTAAACCCTAAACCCTCCGTTTTTCACGGGATCCGCGATATCTGCTGAAATCAAAAATCAAAAAATAATTTTTAAAACCCTAATTCTCTTAGTTCATTTAGTGTGAGAGCAGCACACGACTGCGCGAGGCCCCGAGACCTCCAAAGCCCTAAACCCTAAACCCTAAACCCTCAACCCTAAACCCTTCGCAGAAAAGCCTTCAGGGCGGCCAACTCACTCAGTGAGACTTTTCGTTCTCTGCGCATTTTATTTGCTGCTCTTTGCTGGATCTTTGCAGCGCAGCGTCTCTGCGTGAGGGTTTAGGGTTTAGGGTTTAGGGTTTAGGGTTTGAGGTGTCGGTTTTTGGAGGTGTATCGGAAGGGTTGAGTTCTCCAAGTCTGCGGGTTTTCGGCCGCATCGATGGCGAGGGTTTAGGGTTTCTTCAGCGGCTGCGGGTGCTGGCTGCGCGAAGCAGACTCGAGGGTTTAGGGTTTAGGGTTTAGGGTTTAGGGTTTAGGGCTCGGCGATGCGGGCCTCCGAGTCTGCCTCCGTGCCAGAGACCGAAACTGCAACAGCAGCAGCAGCAGCAGCAGCAACAATTGCTGCTGCTGACGAAGACTCCCCCAATCCTTTCTCCACTGTCTCCCCAGACACTTCAACTGCAGCAAATGGGTTTTTAGGGTCTGAAGACCCCACAGCAGAGGGGGCCCCCCGGGGTTTGGCCCGGGGGGCCCCCAAGAGGGGCCCCCCGTGGGGCCGCCGGGAGGCCCCGTGGGGCCCCCACGGGGGCCCCCACGGGGGCCCCCACGGGGGCCCCCACGGGGGCCCCCACAGGGGGGCCCCCAGGGGCCCCCTCAGGGGCCTCAGCAGACCCCGGGGGGGCCCCCTGGGGGCCCCCCTCAAGGGCCTCGCGCTGCTGGGCAAAAGAGCAGCAATAGCTTTGTCGATTGCAGCATTATTTGTTGCTGCTCTTTTTAATGCGCGGAAGGCCAGCAGGGAGCTGCTGCTGCAGCAGCAGCAGCAGCGGATGCAGCAGCAGCAGCAGCAGCTGGAGCAGCAGCAGCAGCGCTTGCAGAGGCTGCAGCACACGGAACTGATGCAGCAGCAGCAGCAGCTCCAGCTCAAGCAGCAGCAGCTGCTGCTCGAGATGGAGCCGCGCCAGCAGCAGGAACAAGAGCAGCTGCAGCAGCCGCAGCAGCTCGAGCAGCAGCACGCACAAGAGCAGCAGCAGCAGCAGCAGCAGCAGCAGCAGCAGCAGCAGCAGAACATGGGAAACAGGGAGACAGAACTCAAAGAGGACAGCCAGACTGCAGCAGCAAATGCAGAAAGCAGCAGCACAGAAAATGCAGGCGAAGTCCGAGCAGCAGCAGCAGCAGCAGCAGCAGCAGCAGCAGGCATTAGCCCCTGGCCACCAGACGCCGTCAAGAGAGGCATAGTAAGTTTGGCGCTGCAGCGGCGAGGGTTTAGGGTTTAGGGTTTAGGGTTTAGGGTTTGGGGTTTAGAGCCTTTTTGTTGGGCCCATATCCCATGTGCATCAAATACCCCTTTTGCTTCCGGCGAGTTGCCGCTCAGAGGCTCGTTAGGGCTTAGGGTTTAGGGTTTAGGGTTTAGGGTTTAGGGTTTAGGGTTTAGGGTTTGGGGTTTGGTGCAGATGTCGAACCAGGCGCTGCAGTACGTGCTGGACAGCGCGCGAGCTGCGCAGATTAGAGAAAAGGGTTTGGAGGGGACTTTAGAGGAGACAGTGGATTTGCGGGATTGTCGAGATGCAGCAGCAGAAGCTCGTTTGGCTTTGCTGCTGCAGCAGCAGCAGCAGCAGCAGCAGATCTTCACCTACGAGCAGCACCGCAAGATCGAGGCCGCCATCTCCATTCTCTCCAGCAGCAGCAGCGCAGCAGCAGCAGCAGATTCGTACGCGACTTTTTCCGTGCGGGACTTCCACTGCTCCGCAGCAGCAGCAGCAGCAGCAGCAGCAGCGGGCCCCGCAGCAGCAGCAGCAGCAGCAGGCCCCGCAGCAGCAGCAGCAGCAGACTTCCGCTGGAACCGCGTCCTCGGAGTCACTGACATCTCCGTTGTCTTCGAAGTCGAGGCCCTAGACCCTGTCATAAAGGAGACAGTTGGGGGGGCCCCCCTGGCGATGTCTTTGCTGCTGCAGCTGCAGCAGCAAGAAGAACAGGCCAGAGACACAAGTGCGGAGGAGAGCGACTACGAGGAAGCAGCAGAGCCTGCTGCTGCTGCTGCCCGCGCAGCAGCAGCAGCAGCAGCAGCAGCAGCTCGCAGCGGCGCCTGCGGCCACCACGAGGACCACCAGCAGCAGCAGCAGCAGCAGCAGCAGGCTGGCGCGGAGCAGCAGCAGCAGCAGCAGCAGCAGCAGCAGCTGGAAGGCGAAGCCAGCGCGGCGGCGGCTGCGGCTGCGGGTCCGTGCAGCGGCTGGGTGGTGTGCAGCCCAGCAGCAGCAGCAGCAGCAGCAGCAGCAGGAGGGGTGGACTCGGGCGGCGCAGCAGCAGCAGACAGCGCTGCTGCTGCTGCTGCAGCAGCAGCAGCAGCAGCAGCAGCAGCAGCAGGCCCCGCAGCAGACTCCGGGCCCGCCTTGCCGCCGCGCCCCCCCGCAGCAGCAGCAGCAGCAGCAGCAGCAGCAGCAGCAGCAGAAGGGGAGGAGGAAAGGCCCCGAAGGGGCTCTCTGGAAGGCAGCATTTTGGGAGCTTTGCTGCAGCAAGGAGAGACAGGAAAGGAAGCAGCAGAACGTGCTGCTTTGCTGCTGCCGCTGTACGGCGCGCGGCTGCTGCAGCAGGGAAAAGGAGACATTGCGGGGACGGAGACAGCAATATATGACAAGAGGGTTTGGTTTGGGCCGCGGAAGGAAGCAGACCTGCAGCAGCTGCTGCTGCAGCAGCAGCAGCAGCAGCAGGGCGCGCCGCTGCCGCAGCAGCTGCTGCAGTACCTCTTCAAGCGCCTGCTGCTCGCCCTCGGGGCCCTCCATGCTGCTGGTTTGCTGCACAATAATCTCAACAGAGACTCCGTGGTTTTGTCTCTTCAAGGAGTACCCTATTTGTCGGAGTTGAGGGCCTCGGGGCCCCCGGGGGCCCTCGCGGAGGCCCCCAACCCCTTCGTCCTCGCCCCCGAGCAGCAGCAGCAGCTCGAAGCAGCAGCAACTTTGTCTCTCACGGAGGAGACAGACTCTTGGCAGTTGGGGACTCTTCTCTTCTCCTTGGCTCTTCAAAAAAGGCCTTATTCCAGGGACCAGCAGGTCCACTTTGCTTGGGCCCTTTCGGGGCCCCCCTGGTTCCTCAGGGGGGCCCCCCCGGTGGGGGGCCCCCTCCCGGGGCCCCCCTTCCTCGGGCCCCTCTCCTTCGGGGGCCCCCTCGCGGCCCGCCCGCCCGCACACCCCCCGGAGACCCGCAGGGGGGGCCCCCAGGGGGGCCCCCAGGGGG